ATTAATTTTGCTTCTCAATTTCTAATATTTTAAATGTCTCGTAAGTTTTGGACTTTTCATCTGTTTTAAAATTTCATTTACCTTTATGATAAACTGTTTAACTGAGACAGCTTCAGATTTACAGAATCATTGCAAAGACAGTAGAGAGATTTCCTATATATATGCCCCCACACAGTTTCTCACAGCAGTTGCTGTGCAGTTGCTCACAGCAACTTCAAACTCTTGGGTTCAAGTGACGCCTCAGCCTCCCAAGTAGCTGGGACTAGAGGCACCTGCCACAATTCCTGGCTATTTTTAGAGATGGGGTTTTGCTTTTGCTCAGGCTGGTTTCAAACCTATGAGCTCAAGCTATCCCACCCGCCTTAGCCTCCCAGAGTGCTAGGATTATAGGCATGAGCCACTGCTCCCCAGCTAATAATTACTTTTTAAAATACTTTGGGGAGGAAGGGTCATACTGGGCAAGTTTTTACTCTTTGCATCCTTGTATTGTTTTGAGTTTTTTATGATGAAATTTCATTCACATATTGTTTCTGCAATAAAGGGAAAAGCAATATGTGCTCACTATAAAAAAAAAAGAAGTTCAAAAGATAAAAAATTTTTTTAAGAAAAGTAAAAATATCCACCATAGCTGTGCCACCCACATGTATCCTGAAATAACTACTGTTAAAGCCTTGATAAACACCCTTTCACAGGTGAGGGACATTTTATGGAGAATGTTTAATCTTAAACTAAGGACAGCAAGAGAAAGAGCACCACATATCAAATTTACACTTAGCTCAACAAGCAGTGTGCATATTTTTTGAGTAGAAAAATAGGATGATAGCATGTAGCTTTTTGTCTATAATCATTTTACTTTTCATTATATAGAACATAATGACTGTCAGTAAATATGTGTTTAAGAAATAAGTGACGATGATCTACTTTCACTAAACTATTGGTGAGGCTCTTGTATGTATAAAACTCAAAATAAAAAACTCATGTTGGTCAGCTGTTTAAAAACTATCAACTCTAGCTCCTAATAATACTACTTGTGTTCGCATCAGCACCAACATTTATTACTACTGTCTACCCAAATCATTGTAAGACCAGGAAAGCTCTCAACTAAAGTGGATAAACAGTTTATAGTGGTATAAGAAGGCCTTGTTAAGAAATAATACCTTTCTCATCTGGCAGGGGGTTCTGACCTTATTTGTACCCTCAAGCCTTATCTCAAACCTGGAACACTTCCCCGTACATGTAGTACAGAGTGGGATGATTTGGTTATCCATGATGAAAAAGAGAGATTATAAAAACTATAGCATTTGGCGTTTCTGTTCCTGTGCATCAGAGGTCAAATTGAAACTGCTCAATTTTAGAAATTTTTACATATATATATGTACATAGATGTGCATAAGGGATCATGTGTAAAATGTGCACGTGGGCCCACCCCATGCCCCTGCCCCACTGGGTGCCTTTGCTTCCACTGGGCGGTCCCAGCTGCACTGTGAGGTCCTCCTAGTTCTGCACTGCCTTTCCCCCCCCCCCAGAGGTCCTAGGCCAGAGGCGGCTCGACATCTGTGCTGCCTCAATTTTGAAATGTGCCATTTGTATCATGCCACTGGCATCAATGGATGGGATTGGAAAGAAAAAGTTTAGAAGTGAAGAAAATGCTTACAGCTGTTGAAAAGAGTACCAAGGAATTAAGAATGAATGGAGGGAAGAGGGATAAAAAGACCAGAGGTAGTCTTGACTTGCTGGGGAGATGAGAAGATGTTTGATTTGGGGATATCAAGCTTATCAACAGGGAGAATTCAATGAACAGCAGTAGAAATAAAAGGACTTGGTTTGGAGGGAATAAAATGAGGCTGCTTTGTAGGGAGCTGGCCCCATATGCCGGAGGTGGCGGGTTCAAACCCAGCCCCGGCCAAAAAAAAAAAATGAGGCATCTTTGAACCTAAAGGGTTTGAACTGTTGATGATAAACCCAGGTAAAGATAGTCCAAAGACCTCTGGAAATGGAGATATGAGTGTGAATTTAGGAGCCTTTTCCACCCACATGACAATTAAAGAATTGTTGAGGTGTACAAGAAAAGGAATATAAGGACAGGACCTAGAGAAATGCCAGAGAGAAGAGTCAAAAGCTGAGAAGACCAAGAGAACTAGCCAAAGAAGTAGAAAAAAGAATCACAATACTGCAATGCTAAGCCATTCAAGGAAAATGGTGCTTGTCCTAAGATGGAATAAGTGATCAGATTTGTCACATCCCTCAAACAGGATGAAAGGGGGTTCTATTTTGGCAAATGGCATATTATTGGTAAACTGCAATCTCATGTTAAGTTTTTTTTTGAGCTCTGTGCTCATAGCACAGTGGTTACTGTAGTCATTTACGCAGAATAAGGGCCTAAAAACTGAGTGATTTCAGTCGACTAGGAGAAACAGAAGGTCACAGAGGGTTGAGTGAAGAACAGCTAGTGAAGTCGGTGATTGTTGACCTCTATTTGAGTGGATGATACTGGATTAGGGACAAATTTACACCACGAAGCAGTTCAGCAACTTTTATTATTAAAACAACTATGTGCCCGTGAAAAAAATAAATAAATAAAATGTGCACGTGAATTATTTATTAATTATCATGAAGCCTAAGGTGAACTTTCTGAGATTTTTAGGGAAACATTAATTTGTATAATTTGTGTTTTTCTTTTTAGTTTCTGCCACTGCCTTCTACAAAGCACAACCTGTAATTCAGTTCATGTGTGAAGTTCTTGACATTCATAATATTGATGAGCAGCCAAGACCTCTGACTGATTCTCATCGGGTAAAATTTACCAAAGAGATAAAAGGTGAATTAATTAACATTTAGAAAAACTTAGCTGTAAAATGCATGGATATGAAAAGTCTTATTGAAATGTTTTTTATAATTAAAATTTATTCATGAACAACATTAAAAATATAGATCAGTTATAAAATATTACAGTAACATCTTATTTAGGCAGCATTTGAATAAAAGAAATGCCAAGTAATGGAAAAAGTATCAGTATCAGCTAATTTTTTGTTAGTATTTATTCCTAGCTAAAGAGGTAAAAGTGTCTCATGAAATATGTGTCAATAATTACTTCTAAAAGTAGGAGGCTTATTCCAAAAATATTTGTTGCTTTAAAACTAAAACTGTTCTTTGAATATATTCTAATATAATGACTAGTTTGCTTTTCTGAAATAATAGTGGGTTTATTTTATTCCTTTGAGAATTTATGAGTATTGGGCCAGCCTGTTTCATGTGTTCTAGAGTTGTAACATAGTTATTTAATGTATGTTTTAGAGATGACTGTTCACCTTGTCTATTTTATTTTACTTAGTAGCTAAAATTTGCATCACATGTACATTTAATTCACATAAATTCATCTTTGTATACACTCCTAATAAGAAAAAGAAAAATTAATAGTTTTCTAAGACTTGTATTTGTTTACTTTTTATATATGCACATTTCTATATATGTTTAAATATAAATGGTTTTATATTCAAACCCACACGTACATACTTTATCAGCAATTTAAGAGAGTAATTTCGATTATGTACAACTCCTGCCTCATTCATAACTGCAAAGCCTGATCCTCATGTAAGATGTTACACTACTACATTTAGTTTATTTAGACCGTGAAGAGTAGATACTCTAATCAATATAAATTCTATTTATATGAACTATTAGATCATAAATAACTAGAAATAGAAATAATTGCTTTTATCTTAAGATTTTTGCCTATTTATTATAGATAATTTTCAGCTTATGACTTGAATGAAATGTTCAGGTTTGTTCACTGAATTGTTTGGTTCCCAAAATCAATTGTAATAGCTGAATACATCCTCCTTGCTCCAGTTATCATTTATTCTTTGCCATTTAGTAAGACATTATAATGGACAATAAAAGAAAAATCCTTTTTGCTTTGAAAATAAACACCCATTTATCTCAAGGTATTTAAATCCCCAAATAAGAAACTGTTAAATACAACTGTTTCAACCATACCATTGTCCTTTCATGAAGTATGTTAACTGCACAGCTGGCATTGTCAGGAGGTTAGTGCATTTCCAGCCATAATATGTGATCACCTAAATGCCATGGTTTCCAGTGGAGTTGCTGCTTAGTTACCAACTCTGATATCATGAAGTCACTTACATTATTTTCTGGTAACTATGCAATCAACTCATATCACCACTCTATCACAGAAAATACAAGATGTACAGAACAAGGATTCAACTGCTGCCCGAAGAGCATGGACTCGATCTTAACTTCAACTGCTCAGGGGCCCAAAGAAATGACTAGAAAGCATTATAAAGTTGATGTTATAGTGAAGGTAAAACCAAGTTTATAGGTTAAATATTTATTAAAGCCAAAATATTTTTGGGGTTGGATGGAGGGTTGGGGAGGGACCTGGGCAGAGAATTATCTAGTCCACTTTTTAAATTTTCAGCTTTTTATTAGTGTCTATATTTTGGTTTAATTCTTAGGTGTTTATGATTCTAGTTTGGAAATAGAAAAACCTAGGTTGGATCTAATTGACAAACTGATGATTTTTTCATCCATTACAAGTAAAGAAACCTTTTTAAATAGAAGTCTCTTTAAGGCTGGTCACAGTGGTTCATGCCTGTAATCCAAGCACTCTGAGAGGCCCAGGCAGGTGGATCACTTAAGCTCAGGATTTTGAGACCAGCCTGAGCAAGAACAAGACCTCATTTCTAAAAACTAGGCGGGTGTTGTGGTGAGCACCTGTAGTCCCAGCTACTTGGAGGCTAAGACAAGAGGATCACTTGAGCCCAAGATTCTGAGGTTGCTGTGAGCTACAACGCTAGGGCACTCTACTGGGGACAAGAAAGTAAGACTCTGTCTCAAAAAGAAAAAAAGTCTCTTTAAAAAAAAAAAAATCATGTGGCCAGGTGCAGTGGTTCACACCTGTAATCCTAGCACTCTGGGAGGCCAAAGCAGGTGGAGCTTAAGCTCAGGACTATTTTTTTTCTATTAATTTATAGTATTTAAACAGCAGAAATAGAGGTAAATGTATGATAAAAGTACCATATATATATAATTACTAATTTGTTTTTGATAAAAGCTTATTTTGTAGGCTTATGGAACCTGATTAATATTTTTTAACTCAAGGGAACACTTGAGAATTAATTGATAAGTCATCCAAATAACCACAGTTTGTTTTAGACTTTTCTATTGTGTTTTCCCCCAAACATATGTTTAAATCTGCTTAGTTCATGTTGTTAATTCCTTCTTATAAGGCTTTCCTTTGACTGTACTTTATTTTCTAGTTGTCATAGTAAATTCTCTCACTGTTTTGAAATATTAGTTTTACAAAGGTAGTTATGATGAAAGACTGCTACACACTGATTAGATTAGGAGTGCTTCTCAAGAAAAATAAACCTATACCTATCTGGTACATGGATACTGTGTGTATTTAACATCTTAATTTTTACTGACATATCAAAAGAAAAAAGAATTTCTTACCTTAATTATACTTAACAATTAGGTAAGAAAATAAATTTTCTTGTATCAGAGTTTCTCAATCTTGGCATAATAAACATTTTGGGCTGGATAATTCTTTGTTGGTGTATGGGATGGTGCTATTCTGTGCATTACAGGATATTTCACAGTATTCCTGGTGTATACGTTGTAAATACCAACAACACTTACAATAAAAAATGTCTCTAGACTGGTGCAGTGGCTTTTGCCTATAATCCTAGCACTTTGGGAGACTTGAGTTAGGAGGATCACTTGAGGCCAGGACTTCAAGACAAGCCTGAATAAGAGTGAGACCTCATCTCTACAAAAAATAAAATAAAATTAGGTGAATAAGGTAGCATGTTCCTATAGTCCCAACTACTTTGGAGGCTGAGGCAGAGGATTACATGAGCTCACTGCAACCTCAAGGTCAGTGAGGTTGCAGTGAGCTCTTATGATGCCACTGCACTCTAGAAGAGTCTCAAAAACAAACTCCATATATTACCAAATTTGGGGGGGGCCTAGGGGTACAAAATTACAAAATTGCTTCTGGTTAAGAACTTCTGTGCTATAGGAATTACAAATATGAAAGAAATGTTTCAGAGAGTAATGAAAACTAAAAGGTATCCTTCATTTACCCCTTTTTAGATTTTATCCTTTAGAGGTCATACTTTAGAAATGGAATTGCTTATCTGTGACCAATAGCCACTATGTGTCCATTAACTCTTCTGCCAAAGAGTACTACAGAAGAGTACTAAATACTGTACTGTCCAATAAAATAGCATCTAGCCACAAGCAGCTATTTAAATTAATTTAAATGAAAATTTCAGTTTCTAAGGCACACTAGCTGCATTTCATGTGCTTAGTAATACATGTTACTGGTGATTACCATTTAGCACAGATATAGAAAATTTTGTTATTTCAGAAAATTCTGTTTGATACCATTTCTTAAGAAAAGTCATCTCTATTTCTGGGCCATAATCCCAGCACTCTGGGGGACTGTGGCAGGGGATTACTTGCAGAAGTTCAAGACCACCCTGGGGAATATAGCATGACCCTTTGTCTTAAAAAAAAAAAAAAAAGTTTTTAATTAGCAGGTGTGGTGCCACATGCCTGTAGTCCCACCTACTCAGGAAGATGAGGCAGGAGGATTGCTTGACCCCAGGAATTCAAGGCTACTGTGTAGTATGATCATGCCACTCTACTTTAGCCTGAGTGACATACAGAACAAGATTTTCTCTCTTAAAAAAAAGGAAGGAAAAAAATTCATCCCAAAGTATTTCAGCTGATGATTTTGTTTGTCTGTTTTTTGAGACAGTCTTAAGCTGTCACCCTGGGTAGAATGCCGTGGTGTCATATCTCACAGCAACCTTGAACTCTTGGACTCAAGTGATGCTCTTGCCTCAGTTTTTCTATTTTTAGTAGAGACAAGTCTTGCTTTTGCTCAGGCTGGTCTCGAACTCCTGAGCTCAAGCAATCCACCCGTCTTGGCCTCCCAAAGTGCTAGGATTACAGGCATGAGCCACTGCGCCGGCCATCAGCTGATGATTTAAAGCCCATTTTCCTTCTCTAAAGTAGGCCTGGGATCCTCGAACTGCTAGGGTCCACAAAGGGACTGCAAAGATCTAGGAACTCCTAAAATCATGTGCTAAATTATGTGTATGTGCATTATTGCTCACATCTGCGACTCCTAAAGAGGGTAGGAATCTCCTGCTTTAGGAATTATTTTGGCTTCATTTGATTTCCAGTAGTCAGTATTTTAAAAGAACTATGACACTGTATTATACTTCAGTAAAACTATCACTCAACTCCTATTGAAAGGACCTGGCATTTTTTTCTCCTGCTTTATAAATCTTTGAAGGACTTCCCTTTTGAGTTTTAAGAAATTCTTGTCTTCAATCAGTATGTGATGATTGGACTATTTAAATAATCACGTACTTTGAAGGTTATAAGAGTATTTTGAGAATTACTGCAACTCCTCTTTCATTCCTCCTTCCCTTTCCCCACACAAATACCTGAATTTATTATAAACAGGGTTTTTTTTAATTAATGGAAAGCTTTGTCCCTTGATCTATGAGCTTTGTAAGTTTTTTGATTTTATTTTTTAGAGTGAAGACTTTGATGGGATAGGGGAAAGGTTTGGCATTAGGTCTATCATGATTGTAATCATTATTAGCAATGTTAAATGTGAAATCCTGTGTTCATATCACATTGCCTATATCACAGATTTTCTTCTGTCTGTTCAGAATTGAGTTTTTTAGCAGTAAGCAGGCTTTCTAAGTATAAATATTTTACATGTGATAGTTCTGTAACCTCCATTTTTCTTGTTGGGAACAGGTTTGAAGGTTGAAGTGACTCATTGTGGAACAATGAGACGGAAATACCGTGTTTGTAATGTAACAAGAAGGCCTGCCAGTCATCAAACGTAAGAAAAGCTGGTGTTTGTCAGAGCAGCAATGATGTGAGGCAGCTCGCTCTAGGTAGTGGGTTGGAAGTTTCTCTGGCTTATACGGAATAAGAGTTGTTCATTTGTACATTTTTTTCTCAGCTTTCCTTTACAGTTAGAAAATGGCCAAACTGTGGAGAGAACAGTAGCGCAGTATTTCAGAGAAAAGTATACTCTTCAGCTGAAGTACCCACACCTTCCCTGTCTGCAAGTGGGGCAGGAGCAGAAGCATACCTACCTACCACTAGAAGTAATTCCTTCACCCTGCTAATTAATGTGCTCTTGTTCATCATTCTCTTGGGATCTTTTATGGCCTATAACTTATCTCATATTGAACATTTATTTTGCAGTTTGAACTGTTTCAAAATTTTGCTTTATTCTATAATAAATATTCTATAATGGAGTAGTACGAAAAGAGCTCATCCATAATCCCACTCTAATGTAACCACCATTAGCATTTTAGTCCACTGTACTTCTTTTAGTCTTTTTACCCTATGTACATTTTCCCTCATTATAATCATACTAAAAAACAGTTTTGTTTACTACTTTTTTACTTAGCATATTAAAAAGAAGTGATTTAATGAAATGAAGTAGATAAAATTTTTATATCATGTGGTTGACACTGAGAGCTAAAAAAAATAAGGATACATATGTCTAGTACAAAACTCTTTTTCATTTACAGGTTTGTAATATTGTAGCAGGGCAACGATGTATCAAGAAGCTTACAGACAATCAGACTTCCACTATGATCAAGGCAACAGCAAGATCCGCACCAGATAGACAAGAGGAAATTAGCAGATTGGTCAGTATTTAACCCTAGAAACGGGAATTTAAAACATACTAGGAGCCACGTATGGTGGCTCACACATGTAATCCCAATACTTTGGGAAGCCAAGGAGGGAAGCTCACTTGAGACCAGGAAGTGGAGACCATCCTGAGCAATATAGCAAGACCCTATCTCTGCAAAATAAAACAAACGTATTAGGGTGAGCTACTAAAGAACTATATCCTTGGCTCAGCGCCCGTAGCACAGTGGTTACCACACCAGCTACATACACTGAGACTGGTGGGTTTGAACCTGGCCTGGACCAGCTGAGCAACAATGACAACTGCAACAGAAAAAAGAATAGTTCAGTGTTTGTGGTGGATGCCTGTGGTCCCAGCTACTTGGGAGGCTGAGGCGGGAGAGTTGGAGCCCAGGAGTTTGAGATTTCTGTGAGCTGTAACGCCACAGCATTCTACCCAGGGTGACATGTCTTGGAGAAAAAAAAGACAGAGAACCATATCCTTATCAGTCCATACCTTATTATCATTTCATGAACTATCAGAATTAAAAGGGATCATGGAAATAATCTACTGTGTTCTGGGGGTAAACCTTAATGGGTTATATGAGAAGGGTTAGGTCCTTCTAATTTAAGGTGAGCTCTTGAATTAGATTATTTCAGACTGTCAGCTGTACAATCTGAATAAAAAAATAGAAGACAGGCTAGGTGCAGTGTTTTGCACCTGTAATCCTAGCACTCTAGGAGGCCAAGGCAGGAGGATCCCTTGAGTTTAGTTCAAAACCACCCTGAACAAGAGTGAGACCCTGTGTTAATAGGAAAATTACCTGGGTGCTGTGGCGGGCACCTGTAGTCCCAGATACTTGGGAGGCTGAAATAGGAGGATGGCTTGAAACTCAGGAGTTTGAGGTTGCTGTGAGTCAGGCTGACACCACAGCAGTCTCAAAAAATAATAAATAAAGTTAAAAAAAAAAAAAAAGACTACAGTGAACTGTGATCACATCATAATACTCCACCCTGGGTAACAAAGCAAGACCCCATCTCTTAAAAAATAAAATTAAGGGTGTTTGGCACATCTTTTGGGGGCAGGTCATAACTACAAGAGGGACTCTATACCTAACAAATTCAAATATTTTGTGTGGGCACCTGTAGCTCAGTGATTAGGGCGCTGGCCACATGTTCGAGAACTCATGGGTTCGAACCCGGCCTGGCCCTACTAAACAACAACAACAACAAAAATAGCCAGGTGTTGTGGCAGGCGTGTATAGTCCCAGCTACTAGGGAGGCTGAGGCAAGAGAATTACGAAGAGTTCAGACTTCTGTTTATTCATCACCTGTGGTCCCCAGGTTAAAATTCTGTGCTCTGTAGTTAGGTCACCATTAATTAGACCTATTTATAAACACATTGTTGACACAATGACAAAAGCCGGAATTCTAGTGGGTAAAGTAGCTATTTGAGGAAATTTTGAAAGTAACTGTAAACTTTTTCTATTGTTAGGTAAGAAGTGCAAATTATGAAACAGATCCATTTGTTCAGGAGTTTCAATTTAAAGTTCGGGATGAAATGGCCCATGTAACCGGACGTGTACTTCCAGCACCTATGCTCCAGTATGGAGGACGGGTAAATCCTCATGATAATGTTTTAATCATTCATATATGTAAATATATATATATATATGATATGTAGTATAAACAAAACATCCTGGTTACGTTCTGTAATTTAGAAAATTTTTAATTGTTCCAACAATTTTTTATTTTTGTTAAAGGTGTCTGATTGAGCTTAGTAGAATTTTTTGTTTTTGTTTTTTCTTTTTTTTTGAGTTTTTTTTTTTGAGACAGAGCCTCAAGCTGTCACTCTGGGTAGAGTGCTGTGGCATCACAGCTCACAGCAACCTCCCACTCCTGGGCTTAAGTGATTATCTTGCCTCAGCTTCCCAAGTAGCTGGGACTATAGGCGCCCGCCACAGCGCCCGGCTATTTTTTGGTTGTAGCCGTCATTGTTGTTTGGCGGGCCCGGGCTGGATTTGAACCCGCCAGCTCAGGTGTATGCGGCTGGCGCCTTAGCTGCTTGAGCCACAGGCACTGAGCTGAGCTTAGTAGAATTTTTATTTTTTTAATAATAAAATTATAAATAATACTGATTTAGAAAAGCATATTTCGTGTAGAATATCAGAAATTCAGCAATTTGAAATGCTTATCTTCAGTTCATTGAAATATATTGTTAGCTTTTGCTCTTTTTTTGTCATATTATTTCTTTTTATCCTTCTCCAGAACCGGACAGTAGCTACACCAAGCCATGGTGTATGGGACATGAGAGGGAAACAGTTCCACACAGGAGTTGAAATTAAAATGTGGGCTATCGCTTGTTTTGCCACACAGAGGCAGTGTAGAGAAGAAATACTGAAGTAAGTAAGGCATATCATTACTTGGTTTTGGAAGCTTTTGTGTTTAGATTTTAAATTACTCGTTGTATAATCTAACAAATATCATCTCACTGTGGAGTATATTTAATCACTGAGCCTTTAAAAATGTTTCTCCTGAATAGTTTGATGAAGATTCTTGAAATCGGCTTGGTGCCTATAGCACAGTGGTTGTGGTGCTGGCCACAAGCACTGAGGCTGGCAGGTTCAAACCAGCCAAACAACAGTGACAACTGCAACAACAACAACAAAAAAAAATTGCAGGGTGTTGTGGTAGGCGCTTGTAGTCCCAGCTACTTGGGAGGCTGAGGCAAGAGACTTGCTTAAGCCCAAGAGTTTGAAGTTGCTATGAGCTGTGATGCCACAACACTCTACCGAGGGTGACAGAGTAAGACTCTGTCTCAAAAAAAAGATTCTTGAAATCATTCATCATACCATGTTTACCCAAATATAAGACACTATCTTATATTTATTTTTTCTCAAGAAGACACACTAGGGCTTATTTTCAGGGGATATCTTATTTTTAATAAGAATAATACAGTAGTCTACATTTATTCAAATACAGTTAAAACATCTTCTTCTGGAACCTGACAGGGGGAGTCAACCTTGTTGGTGGGGCTGGCACTAGTGATGCGTGAACTCCTTTCCTCTAGCCGTTCACATGTGCTCAATAGGATGCCTGCAACCGCAGTTACCACACACATACCCACACAAGTGCCAACGGCTCAGAGAAAGGAGCTGTGGCAGATAAAAGGTATTCCAGTCTTCCTTACTGCTCTGCACTGAAATGCATAGCCACGCCCATCACTAGGTCTTATTATTGAGATAGGGCTTATATTTAACAAATGCATAGAAATCCTGCTAGAGCTTATTTTTTGGGTAGGTCGTATTTTCGGGGAAACACGGTAGTAAAGTCATTGATTCATTCTGCTACATATCCTTATAGACACTACCTTATGTGGTGTAGCAGCAGCATTGTCTTTTGATGGCAGATAGGTTTGATCCCTAGCTTTACCATTTCTTGACTTTATTACCATGGATAATTTATTTAATCTCATTATTCTTAAGTTTTCATCTTTGCGAAATAAGGGTAATCCTACCAAAGAAGAATTAAGTAAGACCCTCATTTCTCACTTGAGATTTTTGAAAGAGTAGTTAAACTACTTGTTTCTACTTCCTTACTTTCTAAAATTCAGCCTCTATCTTCACTACTGTATCTGTCTTCCTCAGATTCTTTCCTTCAACTTGTAAATGCTCAACAATCTTCTGTTCAAAATTTTTAATCTATAATCTTCAGTTTACCTAACTTAATCCCTTAGGCTTCCAGACCTTCATTCTTTCTTTTCTCTTGAAATCTTAGTGCTCTGCTGAAACTGGTTCCCAGAAGATCTCCTATATCATGATCCTTTATCAATTCCAGGGTCTCCTGTTTTTCTCAAAATATATACATCTTTAGGCTCGGCACCTGTGGCTCAGCGGCTAGGGTACCAGACACATATACCTGAGCTGGCAGGTTTGAATCCAGCCCAGGCCTGCCAAACAACAATGACAACTATAACCAAAAAATAGCTAGGCAGTGTAGCAGGCACCTGTAGTCCCAGCTACTTGGGATGCTGAGGCAAGAGAATCGCTTAAGCCCAAAGAGTCTGAGGTTGCTATGAGCTGTGATGCCATGGCACTCTACCACAGGCAACATAGTGAGACTCTGTCTCAAAAAATAAAAATAAAAAAATATATATGTGTGTGTGTATATTATTTATTTATATATATATACACACACACACACACACACCCCTTTAGATCCATTTGACTGCTTCCTTTTTTTTTTTTTTGAGACAAAGTCTCACTTTGTCACCCTTGGTATCCTAGCTCACAGCACCCTCAAACTCTTGGGCTCAAGTGATTCTCTTGCCTGAGCCTCCCAAGTAGCTGGGACTATAGGCACCCACAACACCCAGCTATTTTTTAGAGACGGGGTCTCACTTTGGCTAAGGCTGGTCTCAAACCTGTGAGCTCGGATGAGCCACCATGCTGGCCCTTGACTGCCTTCTTGATTTTCTGCCCTTTTGCCTTCTAGTTCCTTTTCTTCACTCTTTGACTTTTTCTTTTCTTTAATCTCTCCTCCTTTGGGAATCTCACGCAGTCTCAAGGGCTTCTGTTTTTTTGTTTTTTTTTTTTGAGACGGAGCCTCAAGCTATCCCCCTGGGTAGAGTGCCATGGCATCACGCTCACAGCAACCTCCAACTCCTGGGCTCAAGCGAGTCTCCTGCCTCAGCCTCCCAAGTCGCTGGGACTACAGGCGCCCGCCACAACGCCTGGCCATTTTTTGGTTGCAGCCATCATTGTTTGGCGGGCCCGGGCTGGGGATTCAAACCCGCCACCTTAGGTGTATGTGGCTGGCGCCTTAGCCGCTTGAGCCACAGGCGCTGAGCCAAGGGCTTCTGTTTTTATGAAAAATTACTATATGTACTTTTGACTATCTACTCCAAAAGTTTTAGTTTTCGCTTTAATAAATAGTGACATTCACATTTAGTATGACATTTATTCACCTATCTCTTAGGTTCTTTGTCATTACTCCATGTTCACATTATTCTGGACAAAGAAATTAAAGCACTGTATTCCTTCTTTCTTCTTTGACCTCATATAGCTCTTTACTGAGCTGCCTCCTTCCTGTTTCTACCTACCAATATGCTATTTGTGTTGTTACTTTATGTGTAAAATACAATTGCATTATAGAACTCTTGTAAGAACCACCCAAGGGATATAATAAATTGGTCAACATGCAGAGGTGGTCAACATAAGGAACTAGATCTGCTGTACTGATATATACATGTGGTGCATGTCTGGTCTCTGAATAGGAGGTCAGCTTAAAGAGGTGGTCAGTGTAAGGAGGTGGTCAACTATGGAGGTTCTACTATATTCTGTAAATTTGTCATCACTCCTTTAGAATCTAGTTTTCTTAAGACATTGATTCTTGTCTAATTTATATCTCCACTTATATAAAGTATGCCCATAATGAAAAGTTGTTGGCTGCTATAGAGACCAGTTTACCTCAAGATCCATTCAGAATTTGTCCTGCCCTCCTTATGGCAAGAAGAAATTAAAGTGTGAGAAATAAAATTTTTTAATCTCTCTGCTTTCAAATAAAATGCCATAAGGAAGATTTATTATAATAGGAGATTATCTTATTTGACTTTGAAAGTCAAAAAACCCCACTGCCAACTGTTTCTCAAACTTAGAGTTATTTTCATTTCACATTGATTGTTCATGGCTTGAACAAATGTCTCAGAATCATTGGGTTTATGACTCTTACAAGGCCTGGTTAACAATATTCAACTTCATACTTCTTTAATTAAATACCAGTATGGAAAAGGGTAAGGAATTCTAAACTTCATCTTTCTCCTGAAGGAATCAGGTGTTTTAAGCAATGATCACTCAGATCCTTGACTTAGGACCTTATTTATTTTAGAAACAAATGAAGTGATTGGTCACCCCCCCATCATTATTTATTTATGCTAAATACAGATTTTTTTTTAATATGAAATTTGTTTTTCTTTTCTTTTTCTTTTCTTTTTTTTTTTTTTTGAGGCAGAGTCTCACTTTGTTGCCCTCGATAGAGTGCCATGGCATCATAGCTCACAACCACTTTCAATCCCTGGGCTCAAGTGATTCTCTTGCCTCAGCCTCCTGAGTAGCTAGGACTACAGACGCCTGCCACAATGCCTATCTATTTTTAGAGGTGAGGTCTTGCTCTAGCTCAGGAAGTTCTCAAACTTCTGAGCTCAGGTGATCTGCCTGCCTAGGCCTCCCGGAGTGCTGGCTCTTTTGTTTTTAAATTTTGTTTTCATGAGTTTGGTGTTTTTTGTTTGTTTGTTTTTGTGGTTTTTTGAGAAAGGATCTCACTCTGTCACTTGGACTAGAGAACAGTGCATGATCATTGCTCACTGCAACCTTAAACTCCTGGGCTCCAATGATCCTCCTGCCTCAGCCTCCTAAGAAGCTAGGACTACAGGCACATGCTATGCCTCGCTACTTTTTTACTTTTTTGCAGAGACCAGGTCTCACTATGTTAGGCTGTTCTCAAACTCCTGGGCTCAAGCAGTCCCCCTGCCTTGGCCTCTCAAAGTGCTTCCTGGTTTTGTTTTGTTGTTTAAACCTCTTTTGAGGGCATAATTTTTCCTGCTATCCAACTCTCAGATAAATAATAAATACTATAGAAATTCTAGGATGGCACCTGTAACTCAGAGAAGTAGGGCACCAGCCCCATATGCTGGAGGTGGTGGGTTCAAACCCAGCTCCGGCCAAAAACTGCAAAAAAAAAAAAAAGAAAGAAAGAAAGAAAAATTCTAGACTAGGCCATAATTCTGGCTCTACTATTTATCTGACCTTTGCTAAATACTTAAAGTCTCTGAAACTGTTTTCTGATCTATAAAATTAGAATAATACCTTATCTACTTCTTTCCTATAATCTTGTCAGGATCAAATTAGGAAATACACAGTAGCTAAAATGTATCAAGCTTTTACTGTGATCTTAGAGTGGGCGGTGCTTTACGTGCATTATCTCATTTAGTCTTCACATCAATTCTGTAATAATGAAAGTAATCATGTTATAGATGATTAACTGTAGAATGAAATAATTTGCCTAAATTTTTTTTTTTTTTTTTAGAGACAGTCTGATTTTGTTGCCCTCAGTAGAGGGCTGTGGTGTCACAGCTCACAGCAACCTCCAGCTCTTGGGCTTAGGCAATTCTCTTGCCTCAGCCTCCTGAGTAGCTGGGACTATAGGTGCCCACCACAATGCCTGTCTACTTTTTTGTTGCATTTTGGCTGAGGACGGGTTCAAACCTGCCAGTCTCTGTATATGGGGCCGGTGCCTTACTCACTGAGCCACAAGCACTGCCCCTAAAATTTTTTTTATTTCTTTTTAAATTTCAAATTAATACGAGGTTACAGATTTTCAGGTTACTCTGTTCTCAATTCAATTTGCCTAAAATTTCATAGGTGGTAAGTAGCAGAACTGGGACTGGAACTGTTAAGCTAACTCTAGAGCTACACTCTTAAACAGCATATTCTATTACTAATGCCCTTTGTAAACTACAAAATGCCATACAACTATAATATGTTCTCAGTTTGCAAAATAGATTACAGACCCACTGTTGTCTTTAACATTCGTAGTCTACTGACCTCTTATATATGCAGCATATAAATCTTTGCCTCATCCTCCATTCCCTTCCCCACCTTTCCATTATACTTTGTAGGAATTGATAACTAGATAAAGGTTTTATACTTCATGGTTTTTCCTTCTAGGGGTTTCACAGACCAGCTGCGTAAGATTTCTAAGGATGCAGGGATGCCCATCCAGGGCCAACCATGCTTCTGCAAATATGCACAGGGGGCAGACAGTGTAGAGCCCATGTTCCGGCATCTCAAGAACACATATTCTGGGCTACAGCTTATTATCGTCATCCTCCCAGGGAAAACACCAGTGTATGGTAAGGATATTTTAAGACTGTGTTTTTCTGCAAGGACTTTGTATTCCTTTTAGGATTATGCTAAAACATATCCTAAAACTTTCAAATACCTGTATTAATACAAACCATGGATTGTTACTTTATGATAGATCAGTAGAGCAAACTAAATAGTATAAGAAGAGGCTATATGGGCTCGGCGCCTGTAGCTCAAGCAGCTAAGGCGCCAGCCACGTACACCTGAGCTGGCGGGTTTGAATCCAGCCCGGGCCCGCCAATAAGCCATGACGGCTGCAACCAAAAAATAGCCAGGCGTTGTGGTGAGTGCCTATAATCCCAGCTACTTGGGAGGTGGAGACAGGAGACTCACGTGAGCCCAGGAGTTGGAGGTTGCTGTGAGCTGTGATGCCATGGCACTCTACCAAGGGTGACAACTTGAAACTCTGTCTCAAAAAAAAAGAA